TCATTAGGTGGCCAAAGTATTTGAGCTTCATCTTCAGTATCTGGCCTTCTAAAGAGCAGTCAGGGTTGATCTCCTCTAGGACTGACCGGTTTGATCGCCTTGCGGTCCAGAGGACTCGCAGGAGTCTCCTCCAGCATGACAATTCAAAGGCCTCAATCCTTCGGCACTCAGTCTTCCTTATGGTCCAACTCTCAAAATGTACCTCTAGTCAATCATTAGTTTTATTTAGTGCTGGAAATGAATCCAGCCTGAAGAATTCATATGACGTCTTCAGTTACAAATAAATTCCAAAATTGCACTAATTATTAGCAGTCAAAGCTTCTCCACTAGTAATTCTGGGCCCACCTTTCAGAATATTTGAATATGGCCGTGTCCAACGCAGCAGCCTGCAAGTGCTAATTGGTTCTGACATCCCTGGCACATAATTGGTGGTGGAGCATCTCTCTGAGCTCTGCCTTTTCTCTCTAATTACTCCTTCTCAAGGAAGATGGGGATCACATCCCACTGATTCTTGTTATCAGACATACTTGTGCTTCCCGCAGACTCCTAGCATAACAGCGAAAATCCAGGACTGGTCAAACTGGAGTAATAGCAAGTAGAATGAACACTGAATTTCAGCCTTTGGATGGAGCAGATAGGAAAATAGAAATGACCACGAAAGCCCTGGGTGAGCACAGTTTGGCATCTGGTTGTGTTGTCTGTGATACTGTGAATGACCTAAATCTGATCTAGTGAGAAAGTTCTTTCAACATCTCTTCCCATTGCAGGCTTCCGCTGGCCCCATCTCAAGGAAGTCCTTAGAAGGACAACTGTAGCTCCATTGTAAACTCATTACAAAGCACAGCTGAAGAACTTGGGAGCTTTGTCTTTCAAGTGGTCCTCTGCTATTCTAGAGTGTATTTGTCCCCCATCACCTTTGCTAATAGCTGAGGTAATGAATCTCTGTTCTCTTCAGAGTTTGCTCAAGGTGTTGGTTCAGCTCAGACCTGGGCTGGCATCAGCCCAACATGGTTAAGGATCATTGCATAAAGCAAATGTTTAAAGTAAAATGACCATCGGGGGCGGGGGAGTTAAAACCACATTGCAACCAGACACTCTCAAACACCAACAATAATAAAAAATTCTTTAAAAAACGGGCACACACAAAATATAATAATATGGACACCAGGAACACTTTCCTTAGGAGACCTTTCTAGTGGTATAATGACAACTGAAGAGCTCGTGTTATTTCTGATCCACTACAACGCTTTTACTGCTCTTATTGTGATACTCTCTTGAAGCCTGCTTTTCAAAGCTTTCTTTCTGGGGCAATATATAACTCTAAATATAGAGATTTCCACTGACTTGGCTGAAAGCCTTTGTGGTTTGGTCTGGTATGGGTTTTTAATCCTACAAGGCAGCTCTTTTTCTCTCAATCCATTTGGATTCCCCTGTAATATATGCATAGGCAGAGAATTCTCTTAGTGTTTCTTGAATTTTGTCTTGTTGCTTCCATATTCTTTGTCTAATGATTTGCTAATGAGAGGTCAATTGCTTATGCAAATGAAGGAAAGAGTTACCCAGGGATGGGCTATATTGAGAAGCAAAGTCTGCAACTTCTAATGTTCTGATATCCATCATTTTTATTTTCATGAGCATTTTACCTGGCAGGGGCTGCAACCTGTTAACCATCGTCTGGAAGGAACTGGGAAATATTTCAGCCTTGCTTGACAATGGCAAACCTTGATTCAGGTTTATTCTCTGTGGCAATATAATGACTAATATGTACAGGAAAAGGTGGCCTTTCTATCCACTGTAGTCATTAAACATTGGTATTTTTATCAGATTCCTGCTGTGATTTCCAGAACTGCCTAACAACCCAGGTGTTTGTAGCTACAGGATTCACCGCAGCAGATCAAAGCAGTGATCCATCACAGAGACCTCCGTTCCAGCTGTGTGTTCCCATTTAGGAAAGTTGGATAGCGAGTGCATAGGTCTTTCAATATCCAATTGACAATTTGGCATTTTGTGAGAAGTTTTAAGTAAAATACCCATTGTACACCCAAGGAAGGGCCCACCCCTCTTGGCCAATGGACCAGAATGCTCCACTACGGACCTGCGAGCATCCGTTGGGATGTCCACGCACCTTTGTGCATCGGTTAATGCTTGCATAGATGATTTGAATGTGAGGATGAGCATCGCAGCGGGAGTGCCAAGCCTATACATTTCTATTCTGTGGGATTTGTGGGCATCGGTCAGAGATGTTTCTTCTGGGTGGTGGGCATATTCTATTTAAAGTGAATATATAAACTGTATTTGTTTGTTTGTTTAAAACTTTTATATACCATCCAGCTACCCCAGTCTCGGGATGGGCTACATTAAACACAGAATAAAATGAATCACAGCATCCAATAAGTCCAATAAAATAAAACCCACATCACAACCGAATCAACTTAACAATAATGGATGAATGAAAGGTTTTAACCTGGCACTGAAGAGAATACAGAGTTGGCCCCAGGCAGACCTCTCGGGGGAGCGCATTCTATAGCCAGGGCACCACCACCGAGAAGGCCCTTCCCTGGGTAGCCCCCTCCTAATCTCCTTCAAGAAGCGCTTCCAAAGAAGGACCTCCGCACCAGGTCTTAAGGGGTGGGAGGCACAGAGGGAAGGAGATGCTCCTTCAGATATCCAGACCTTAAGCCATTTAGGGTTTTATAGGTTTTCATCAGTACTATGCATGCCCTAGATAGAAAGTTCAGGTCATTTAATGCTATGTAATTGTGCCACTTCAAAGCATCTGGTTCAGGCAGTAAGTGTGTCATAGAGAAATCCTCAGGTCCCAGGAAAGGTTCTTGGGAATTGCAGGATTCTTCACAATGCCGCAGCCTAGGCAGAAGATGAGAGGTCAAGGTTTTCTGCCAGGGTTATTCTGACTCCAGTTCTGCTGTGAAAGCAGCTGATCCAGCTACTTTCTGAGGTCTCAGAGGTGGCCCTAAGGAACTTGAAGAAATGTGTGGGAAAGGCATTCCGGCAGACAGGTAAGGGGAGCAATTACTGGTTATATTACAGCAACCAACTTTAAAAAAGGTAGGGAAAGAAATGACAATTTAACCCATCAGCACTTATCCCTCTGGAAAAAAGAAAAAGAAAGCCTAAATAAAAGCAACTATGTGAGGTTCATTCTCTCCAAAATAAGCCTGCAGCAGCAATGTTTTATTAAAGATACAAGAGCTGGGTATTGACCTTGGCAACTGCAAAGCCAGTCACTGTATGTTTGGGCTACATTCCATGTTACAGTTAATAAATAGCCTGCAATGTTTTTCTTTCTTTTCTTTTTGTTTTTCAGTCTTTCATGGAGATTAAGATTCTGCTTTGCATTCGGTCCCATCCAATGTACCTGCTCTGTCCCCAACTAGCTTGCAAACTATGTTGCAGGAGGTTTCGTTTGCAAACTAAGTTTGCTGCTTATTCTGAAATGAGTGGAATGTCGCCATGTGGTATCGACAACAAACTTTCTCAACAGTGGCACCCACCCTTGGGAAAACTCTTCCTTGTACATTTCAGGAGACAGAAAAGGTGGGCTGTTCCAAAGGTCTCCTAAGAACACACCTGTTCATCCAGACTTTCTCTGGCTTACAATTAAGGGTGCAATCTTACGCCCTTGACATTTTCTGGTGGGGAGACATACCATCGGTGTAAGTCCCACTTCTGAACTGAAAAATGCTTCTGAGGTTGGAAGTGGGGTCCAATGGGGCCACCCCATGGTCCTCACAGCCAGTGGAGATCTCTTGAGGCCGGCCGGCCCTGCTGTCCAAAGGGGAGGGGAGTTATCCTGGAGGTCAGGAAGGAACAAGGCTCCAGCCTCACTTGCTCATGGCGAAGGCCATTTCTTCCGCCATCCACTGGATGCCTGTAATCATCCAGTTTTGCAGGGCTCCAGGCAGCCAGATTCTGCAGCGCCTTCTATTAATCACAACACTTCATTTAGGGCACATATTACTTGCTCAGCATCTTATTCTAATTACACTGGTTTTAATATCATATTTAATATTATTTCATTTAAAATTGTTTTCTAAATGCAATTTCAATCTGTGCCTGTAAGCAGTTTGGGGAGTTTAGTATATCTAGCAGTATGAGAGTTCTCACACATAACTAAACAAAATTTTAGATTGTAGCCTAAGTCTTTATCAACTTTGAAACAGGGTTGTCACTTATGCATCAACAAAGAGGAGTCACATTTATGTATCACCAAGAAGTATCACCAAAGTGACACTTATGTATCATCAAAAAGGAAACAGCAATTTGGCACAACATTTGCATCTGAACATTTGTATGTATAGGTATACATTTAGGGATAATTCTGAAATGGTATGGTATATCTGCCCATGAACGGTGTGATCTGTTGTGCAGTGCCGTCGATAGCTACCCCCACATGATCTTTAAATTTGAAATGTGCAGGATAACTTTTCAGACTAAACATACTTCCCTGGCCACTGTGCAAATAGAGGATTGTTCCCTAAAGAACAATGTCTTTGCATTTATAACGTTAATTTTTTAAAAAATGGAAAACCTTTGAAACGTGACCGGCCTGCAGTTCTGTATTTACTTTACATGGTGCAGGTGTATCAACGGCTATTAAACAGGGGCGGAGAAGTGCAGAAAGATCCGCAGGCTAGTAAGGGCGAAGCAAGGGCGCGTGGGCGACTTCCTCCTATGCTAGTGAGCATGCTCCACTCTTCCCAGTTCTGCATCTTCCCGGAGCTGCATTCTTCTCCTTACTTTAAACGTGTTTATGGAAGTTGCAATCTATGCATCCCTCTGCATCAGCCCTGCCGCGTAAAATATCACCTTTGATGCATCCCCATTTTGAAGGAGGAGGAAAAATGCCTGGCTCCGAGGAAGGGCACGAGACAGGGCAAGGCTTCGGGAGTGGCTATCGAGCATGCGCGGCACAGATCGCGCAGGCGCAGAGGCATCACTGCGTTGCCGCACTACGACGAGGTCGGGCCCGCGGAGCGAGCGGAGCGCGGCGCTTGCCAGAGCCGCCGCCGCCGCCGAGCCGCGAGTGCCCGGGACCCCCGGCCCGCCGCCACCATGGCGCGGGACGTGAAGAGCAAGCTGTCCAAGAACCTCCTCCGCATGAAGGTACGAATCCGCGGGCCGGAGCAAGCGACCCGGCAGCGGAGAGAGGCGCCAGCGCGGGCTCCGGGAAGGGGCGGGGCCAAGCGGTTTCCGGAAGGAGCCGAAGGCGAGCCGGGCGGCGGGGGGAGCCGAGCGGCTTCGGGCGGGGAAGGGGAGCCGAGCGGCTTCGGGCGGGGAAGGGGAGCCGAAGGGCTTCGTGGGCGCCCCGAACCGGGCGGAGCTCCGAACCCTTTAAAGAGGTGCCGGAGCTCAAGAACTGCCGGCCCTGCCCTCCGCTTCCGCCGGTCGGCGTCCTTCCTCTCCGCCTTTTAGGCACGCTCTAATTTGGCGTTGCACTTTGCACATGCCCAGGGGAGCATCCCAGCATCTACGGAATCCAGAGTTGTGCTTTCTGCAGTGTGCTCGCTTTTCCCCTTTCACCACCCCCCCGCTGAAAACCCTGCCTGTTTGTTTTCTTGGTTAGCAGGGGCTGCGAAGACTAGCAGGCGTGGAGGAAAGTGTGTTTAGGGCTATGCAGTTCAGTGCTTACAGAAAACCACTTAAGAAGAGCGGAATGGTCTAGCCTGCAGAAGGGCAAGGCCGGCTGGGTGCCGTGTTTTGCGTTGGGAGCAGCCAGCTTTTGTCTAAATAAATCCACTTCCTAAAAGGGCAAGCCCCACCACCATGGCATCTGTCTCCTTAGGATGCCCAAACAAGCCTTCCGCGTTCCAGATGTGCCCACCGGGTCCAAAAGAGTTGGGGACCCCAGATGTACCATGCACGGGACATTGCAGAAGCTCTTCTAAGCTAAAGCTTGCTCTTTCACTGGGTGGGCTTTGCCAGCAAGCTAATATTACCCATCATTTCCCTCATTCATTTAACTTTTTTCTGTCACCCCCCCCCAAACTCATCAATGGTGATGCGGGACGGGGGGGCAGATATTAATAAAGCGCTGACCTAGCTTTGCCCTTGGATTTGCGAATCCGGTGTCGAGTCCAAAGTGGAATTAGTCGCGGCTCAGTGGCTAATGGACTCCGTTCCTGTTCTGTAATGTAACACGTAATTCAGCTGAAGTACGGCATGGCGTGATTGATGAGCGTGCCGTTTTCGGAGAACAACATCTGAGTTGGATTGCCATTAATTTTTTAAAAATATAAATATTCATTAAGTATTTATAACTCAATATAGCCAGGCCTTCATGGTTTGTTTGCTTCGGTTTTACGTTTGTGCCATTCCATTTTATCTCCATCTTTCAGGCTGTAGTTAAAAAGTGCCTTCAACCCCAAGTATCAAGCAAGATCCCCCCGCCCCCCACTTTCTTCATTTTGCAAATGCTGCGGCAGTTACAATGCATGGAGCATCTGACAGCATAGAAAGTGGTAGTCTGAAAAAAATGATTAGGGGTTGGAAAGGGAGCTGGCCTGCTGCTTGAATGCTCAGAGGTCCCCACTTCTAACGGGGTTTGCTAAGGCTATTTCAGGCCCTATCCCATCAACTTGCAAGTGCGCTTGACTGTCTCAGATCGATGGGGCTTTGAGTCAGTTAAGATCAATCTATATCATTTCCTCTGGCCGCTTACTGCTAAGTAATTTCATTAGCATCAGTGGCTTTGCTCTGGAGGTTAATGGCATTTGCTCATTTGAGGGGTACCCTTTTGATTTCTGAGTCTGATCATAATTAATTTCAGTTTCCTCTTACCAGACGACCTCAGGCATTGGGACCATGGGACAAAAACTGGGATCACAGGAGGCAAGATGCAAATTTAAGGGTGCAGAGTTGTACTTTCTGTCCTCAATGCTTGTAAGCCCTGAAAGCAGAGAGCAGAATTACCTGTTATGGTCCGTTCGCTTGCTGCAGGGCTCTGTTACAGAGTAATGGATGCAGAATAGAGAAGGGAGCAGAATGCGGTGGGACGTGTCTCTAATGCTCACGGAAAAACTCCCCTTTGCAAGAATTGCTGCTAAAAGTCCTGCCCTAGGAAGCAAGAATGACATAGGCCTGTTTTGCTTTCAGACATGGAATTTTTCTTCCTGCACATGCATTTTTTTTAACCTTCATGCTGGGCCATAATTACTACCAAAGCCCTACACGTTTCATTGCTAGCTTTGGGATGTCTCCTCCGAATAAGAAGCTTTAAAACCAGGCTAGATCAATATGCTCACTTGCCCTGGAGGCTGCTTTCTGTTATCTTCCCAAATGCTCTACCACATTTGCTGAGAGCTGGGTGAACCTGACCGACACATATGCCAAAGCTCTGGGAACCGAGAGAAACTCCGGAAAGGGAATGTGCAGCCAAGTGCAGCTTTTCTGTATGTGGCTGAATATCAGCTGCAATACTTTGGGGGCCAGCTGCAGTTCATCACTTGGAAAAGTTCATAAGTTGTGGACATTTTTCACAAAGCCCTTCCCTTAGGGGAGGATGGATCGGTCTGTTTCTGGTCCAGGTTAGGTCTATGTGTGCTCAGCCATAAGCCCCATCCTGTCCAGGTCCTGTATGAATTTGCATTTCAAAAAATCTCCATGAAAATTTGCATTTGTGTATTTTTGCTCCTGTTTGCTCACGCATTTCTGTCCTAATTTCCCATCAATGTGTAAGCTTATTTTATCTCAGAGTGTGGGCTTTCTAAACTTCGTACCTTCATGCCAAGTTCTATGTCACAAAATTTGGAGAAGTGCAGAATCCAAAGGAAAACTGTTTTCCCATCTGCACTTTGCTCTGGAAAGTGTGGACCTGTCTAGTTTGCTTTAACATTTGAACAAAGTAAGAATGCCAATATAGGATCTCTCATTTAAGGGGTGATATTAATCCCAGTATCTGGATTTCCAAGCAGAGATCTTTATACAGTTACATTTTTTTAAAGTTGCAGGAGAGCACGGTGAGAGAAATTCTAAAAGGGAAGGGAAACAGAAGTTCTAACTTCCGCATGCTTCTGTTCCTGTTATTAATGGAAGAGGCCAAGTGCTGTTGTAGGGTTCACAAGGCCCCAGGTTCAATCCCTGGCTTTTCCTGGTAGAACTACGGATAAGTCCTGCCTGGAACCATGGGGAGTTGCTGCCAGCCTGTGCCAGTAATACTGGGCATGATGGGCCAATCCTTGTATCCCGGGTTTCTCAAGGAGCATTCAATACCGTTCCCCAGTTGGCAGGTGAATAAACCTCAGAATTGCTGTACTTAATACATCGCATTAACCCAAGCACTATGCAAATGAGATGCAGATCAGCACTGGCCTTTGCCTCATAGCCCTTGGTGTTTTTTATTCATCTCTCCTCCATTCTCAGCAGCCACCATCCCCATCCTCTGCCAGTGGTGCTTTGTGCACCTGGAGAAGGAAGTTTTTGCTCAGTTTGTAGCCCTGCCTCCTTTTCCATCATTTGATCTATTCCCCAAGATGCCACCGTTCACTCCTGGAAGCCCAAACAAACGCTCATTTACTGAATTTTACTTGCCTTGCAGCTGTTGAAACCAGGAGTTAGATATTTTTATTCCAAGCTCCGTGGGTGCCTCTAGAATATAATATTAATAAATATAATTAACACTAACTTGAATGCTTGGGGGAGGGAGACTTGAGAGGTTCAGTTGAGACTTTTGAGACTTTCAAATGATTGAGAAACTCATTGCCTTCAGGTAATTCATGGAAGCACCTTCTCTTCTCCTCCCCAATCCATGTCCAGCTGCTTCAGTTCCAAGAATAAGTGCAGTGATTGTGGCGTTTGAGAACTAGGGATTGGATGCAGCGATTTTTGTATCGCAAGGCATTTTCACAAATGAAGGACTTACGTTAGCTTTGTACTGAGTAAGATACAAAGCTAGCTAGGTCGGTATTTCCTCTGGGTTTGGACAGAGTCTTTCCAGGTAGCGCCTGGAAACAAGAACTCAACCTGGGCCTGTGCTCCACCCTTTGGCCGTGGACCTTCCCACAGATAGAATTCTGAACTATACCTGCTTGCGGTTATGCACAAGCTCACGGGAGTCTGCAGACACCTGAGAAGACCCGACTCTTCACCCAGTGCAGGCTGAAGCTTCTAGTTCTCTTGAAGCACGTGGCAATTCCAGCCCCACCCCTTGCTCTGTGCCTTCAGCCATTAAAACAGAAGGGGGATGCGTCAAGTGCCCTCATTAGGATTACTCTTCCAACATGGAAAGTATTCATGCATTCTTAACTCCATTGCTCAGGGCATTTGGAAATTTTGCTGAACTCCATTGAATCGATAATGCTTTCCCTGCATTTCTGAAATGGATTTTGCTGTGTTAAGAGAAGGTACCAACACTGGTTAATTTTTAATTGTGAAAATACAGTGCAAAGAGTTCAGAGAGGTTGCCAACTTCCAGGAGCTCCTGTTTTCTGGCACCACCATTTTGTAAGGGCAAAATGCCTTCTAGTGCTTAAATATTCTGTGTACACCACCTTTCTGTCCTAAAGATCTCCAAGGTGGCTAATGCATTAGGAATGAAACACCCAGCATAAAAACACATTAAAGCCCTACTAAAGCAAAAGACATTAAAACCGGCCCAGAACAAGCGCTCGGTACTGAAAGTACTATAGCCATTACAAATAGGAATCACACAAGCAGAAAGGAGAACTATCTAAGTAGGGTTCCCCTTCTCACCCCGGTGCAATAATAGAGAGAGTTGTTAAGACCTGTTTTAATCCAGAGGGTTGAGCGTGGGGCTTTCAAAATCTGTGCATTGCTCCACAGGTGAGATGTTATCAAAGGCAGGCTGGCAAAGGTGGGCATGGGAATGGCTAGAGCAATGCTGGGTGGGGAAGTTATGCTGTCTATGAGATCAGGCTCAGCAGGTCGAGCAATGGTCATGGTTATATGTTTCAACCGAACCTGCCCTTAGGAGTACTGGAAAAGAGAGGGGGAAGTGATATTAGTTGCCAGGAGAGGCCATGAGCTTTCCACGCTAAAGACATTCAAGGCGATGCAGGGCAGTCATCTGAGTGGGACGGTGTGACTTGGTGTTTGCACCAGCTGGGGATTGGGCCTGATGGTCTTCTTGGCCCCTTCCAGCCCTACTGTTCTATGAATCTATGAACCGTAGCATTGTTGTTGTTGCTGTAAGTCACAAAGTTGTGTCTAGCCCATCACAACCCCATGGACAACATTCCTCCAGGCCTTCCTGTCCTCCACCATCCCTTGGAGTCTGCCCAAGCTCACACTGGCTGCTTCAGTGACCCCATCCAGCCACCTCATCCTCTGCCGCCCCCTTCTCCTTTTGCTGTCACTCGTTCCCAGCATCAAAGCACACCATACCTTCAGTTTATTTTGATTGCCTGATGCACTGTATAGTAGTAGTCTCGGACAGGACTCCCGTGAGCCCAATCTGCCCCTACCTGGGTTGCGATTCCACATTCCTGATATGCACCCCCTTTCCTTCCATTGCTGTTTTTAAAAAAACAGCATTGCAAAAGCTGGAAATGCTTCTGCTAAAGCTCTGGTGCAAACTTTAAGCAAAAATAAAGTTTGAATGAAAACGCCTTTGCTCTGCCGGTTTCTAGCTTGTGGTCCCAGAGCAGTTCCCAGAAATTGCAATTGGCCCTTGAACCAACAGCGGATCGTCAAACCTGCAGGTAGGCTAGGAACACGGCATGGAGCCATCCAGGGAAATCGGCGTGCCATCTACTGGTCCCTGTTTACCAGGATCGACCTGCTCCCACTCTGATAAATCACCCATTCCTGTTTCCACCCCCTATTTCTGTCTTTTGGGAATGCCTTCTTGCATTTGGCTCTGAGTCGCTACACTTGTCAGTGTTATTCTTCAACGTTCAGCATCCGTTCCCCCCCTCCCAGGGTCTCTGGAAGTTAACGGGTGCTTGGGGGGATGTAGTCCTGGCGTGCCGGCACATGCAGAAGGCAGCCCCGCTGGGCACAGCCTCTCGTTCCACGCACGGCAGCTGGCAGTGGTCCGTAAATAATTGCAAAGGAGCGTTCACGGGAGATCACGCACAGCTTGGGTGGGCAGACTCGCTGGAGGCAATTTGTGCTTCTGTTGTGAGCACACAAGCACAAGCAAAAAGTCCTTCCTCAGTCTAGTTTTGCCTCCCCGTGCAACAAGATTGCACGAGGTCTAAAGCGTGTCCTCACCAAGCAAGAGGCACTCCCCGAATTCTTCACATCCAGCTGGGGCCTGGGTTGCATTTCCCCTCGTTCTTTCAAAGACGGGATCTCCGAGGCAACGGCACAAGCAACGTGTTAAGATTTGCTTTGCTTTTATGCAGTGGGAGTTTGTGCTCGGTTTTGCTCTTCCCGGTCACGTACTTGACATGTCAGCTCATGTCATGTTCTCCCTGGCATTGAGGCCAGTGTGGTGCCGTGGCTGGAACACTGAATTGGGATTGGAACAGAGGAGGAAGAGCGCGGTTCAAATCACTGTTCAGCCAAAACCTGCAGAGTGAACTCGCGCTCTCTGCAACAAGACAATTTGTGCCCACCGCTTAGGGGGTCACTTCATGAATCTATTTCACAAAAGCTTGTGCACCGGTAGATTTGCAATGTTTTTTTATGATGCCAGGAGATGTGAGTTTTTTGCATTTTCTGCAACGTACTGTAGCACCAACCCCATCTGCAATTCCACTTCAGAACATAGCAAGCAGTGTTAAAATGCGTCGTGGCCACCGAGTGACCTGTTATGTATATTTCTTCCCAGTTCATGCAGAGGGGCTTGGACTCAGAAACCAAGAAGCAACTTGAAGAACAGGAAAAGAAGATCATTAGCGAGGAACATTGGTTCTTGGATCTACCAGAACTGAAGGAAAAGGAGTAAGTTTGTTGCATTGCCTTGCTTGGGTGGGAGAAAGCTGGGAACAACAAAACGAAAGAAAACGAAAGGAAAGGAAACAATCTTCTGAAACTAGGGAGTGAGTTCTGACATGTTTATTTCCTACCAACTTGTTGACTAAGCTAAACGTAACTCTTTAAGGCTCTTCCTTTGCTACTTCTTTGCAGGAGCCTCATAGTAGAAGAAAGAAGCTTTGTGCCATGTGAGGATCTCTTGTTTGGCAGGATGTCATTTAAAGGCTTCAATCCCGAAGTCGAGGTATTGTTGGGGACATCCCTTTATCCTCTCTGAATCCTGCAGAACATCTTGGCTGAGAGACTGACTTCACATCTCCACCTTATTACGCAACCTCGGGCAAGCCACTGTTCTCCCAGTTACAGCCCTTTGTCCCAGGCTCAAATACACCAGTGATTATTCTCAGAAGATGAACTGGTGGATATGAAGCGTTGAATGTCTTGAAGCACTGCTTAGATTCTCAGTGAACCCAGTTCAGCCCAAATAGGGAAATTTCAGGTGGTAGGGTGGGGAGCAGATGGTCCAGATGGTGACTTGGCCATGCTGTTTTTTCTGGCCACCAATTTTTCTGGCTTTTGTGCAGTCCCCATGTTCCATTTTAAAAGGTTTTAAATGGGTTATGATCTGGCAGTAGGAGATAATTGAAAAGATGCTGCTACTTCCATCCCTTATGCCTTCAGAGCCACTTATCATTGGGATACTGTTTGCAATAAGTTCTCCAAAAAGTGTTCAACCCTTTGTGCTGAAACTAAGTCAGTACCCTGGACCATAAAGACAAAGAGATTGTACGCTGACTGGTTCTGGACTGATGTCACTAGTGAATAAAGAGCATTTAAGTCACAATTGGTTTGTTTTTCATGAGGTGCTTCAAGTGCCTATTCTGTGTTTGGTCAATATGATACTAATTTTGGTGCTCATCTTGCAGTGGGAGATGAGGTAAAGAGATGGTTAAAAAGCTGGTGGGCACATGTCTACATTTTCTAAGGGCCCATCTTTTCCTTTCTTTTCCTTTTTAACGATTATTTGGCCTTATTGCCAAATCTGTCTCCTTGACTTTCTTCAGGGAGTGTAATACTTAAACTGATATCCCCGTTTTTCATTTTCAGAAGTTAATGATCCAGATGAACTCAAGGTACAAGAAAGAAGAAATCGAAGAAGTAGATAATTCAATGGAGGCTGATGTATCGGATGAAGAAATGGCCAGAAGGTAACCGTTACCGTTTATGACATAGATGACATTACCAATAAGATGTGTAGCTTCTTTGTCTCCCTGCAAAATGAAAACCTCCAGAATAGACCTAATGCCTGATGCACTTGTTTTCGAAAGAGACTGTTTCATGGTGGAAAATAGGTTGTTGATCTGATGAGAAGCTTTGCTTTTGTCCGGCATCTTAGCTAGTAGTAGGCCTTGTTTCAGTGTATTGCCACCAAATTCCACAAGAGAAGGCTCCTGGAAAATGATGTATACCCACCATTAGAAATATATATACATTTAAGACATATGCTATGCGTAAGAGTCAAACAGCATGCCACAGTCTGAGTCACAAAGGCCAGTGTAAGATTTTGAGCAAGAGCTCTGCCTCCAGTGGAACTTCTCCAATCTCCCACCAGTGTGAGACTCAGCGAACGCCCCAGGGAAGGTAGTCCTTCACTTGTAGGGGGCAGCAAGAATGGCATTTGGGGGTGGGGGGCGCAAAGCTAGCACACGTGTCCCTCTCCCTGCCCCCAAATGTCTGTTGCTTGCACACTGGGACAATGTGTAATAGGGCTGGTGGTTTGGGTATGGCCTTTTGTTTTAAGAGTGCAACATGGCGCCCTGCACTGTTCAGGGGGTTGGACCCAGTGGCCTGATTGGCCCCTCCCAACTCTGCCATTCAGTGAGCCTGTGATTCTTACCTCCAGATTGATCTGCACCAAAGGGATATCCCCTGCAGGAACCTCAGTGCTTATTAAACACTTCTGATTCTGGAGGCTGATGGGAGAGAATGGTTGTTTCTTTCCTGCTTATCTTTTTGCACAGTCTTAATGTTCAAATTCCAAGGTGGCTGTGGGTGAAAGCTTTTCCCAACCTGTCGCTCCTCCCTTCTGTTGGGCTGCAACTTCCTCAGTGGCTTAGAATTAAAGGAGTTTCTGTCCAGCGTGTATTTGGAGAAGGCTGGGGAGCAACTGTCTCGTGACAAGCTGTGTGCTGGCAGAGCTTTGAAACTCTTCTGATTTCTCCATCCGTGCTGTTCTCAAATGGTACATTCTGTGCCTTGCTTTCTAAACCTACCATGATCTTTCCAGGTATGAAACTTTAGTGGGTACTATTGGGAAGAAATTCTTGAAGAAGAGAGACCGCCACACCCTACAAGACGCAGAAGACGAAAGCAGTAACCAACCACCCAGCAAAACAAAGAAAATGTTTTTAAAACCCCAGGATTAAGTGACATGGATGATTTTTGTATCCTCTCGGCTGCAAAATGTCTGTTTTGTAGCATGGTGATGCAAGCTCTATTTCTTGTAAATGGCCGGATTGCTTTATGGTTCTGAGACAGATGCATTTTTCAGAGTAAATGAATATGTGACGGAGGATGTACTTCCTTGGCTGTCCGCACACCATTGTTAGGGTGGGAATCTGGGCAAGGCAGAGACTCGGCTGGTGAATGTAAGCAAGATGGTTGTCGCATGTTGAGAGCAACTTTAGATTATGATTCTGACTGCGAACCAAGTATTTAAAGGGAGAGGAGATCCCCTTTTTGATTCCTGCAAGACATCACTGTTCTCTGTTGTCTGGGTGGGTGGGTGGATATGGTGCATTTTGCTTCAGAGACATTATAGAGGGAGGGTGGGAGGGGTTTGCTGGGGAAGTAAACAGCAAGAAGAGAGAACCTGTCAGCTTGATTTACTTCAGCCCTTGAAAACTGTGTTATTCTGTTGGAACATATTTTCAATTTCTCCGGAAATTTTAACGTATTGTGCCTAGCACTTGTGTTAATTGTGTCTCTTCTTGAATAAAATTATTCGACCCACTGTTAGAAACCTCGGTCTTTTGCACTGGAAGTTTCATTTTCTGTTAATTCTTCAGGTGCATCAGTAACATGGACTTAAGCCATTACAAGATAAAGACAAGTATCAGTCACTGAAAAGAGAATCCTGTGGCTGGATAGATAAAACATTTCAGTACAGTCCCAGATTATGGCAACACAAGGCGTTGTTTGTCCGTCTGCCCATCCCTCTGGCAGTGCCGTAATGACAAAGAAATCCAGACATGTGGAACCTCACACACACATTCAGACATTTGTATTAGCACCACTGGGTCAAGGCGCCATTCACAACAGGCTGTTGCGCGAGGTAGCTATCGCTCCTGCTGTCCAGGCACCGCAGGGTCTGCTTGATTCCCAGGGTTCCCACGCGGTGTAGCATGCTTTTGCTGAGCGCTCTGTGCCCGGGCATCCTGCCTACATTCTCCGAGCGAAGCTTCCCCACTGCCCCAGTGTGGTCGCATTCGGAATCTCATGCCAGGCCTTTCAGAACTCGACTCTGGGCGAAGTTTGGCGCATAAAATCACCCATGTAGGTTCTGGTCAGGAAGAATGAAGCATGTTAAAGTGTTCTTAGGGAAACCACTGCACTGGTCTTTGTTATGACTTCCTCATTGTTATCAGGATTATGCTGAATATTATGGCCTGTCTCAGCTATGGTTTGCTTGTGCACGTGTGAGAGTGTTGTTTTCTTGGAAGCAGTAAAACATGGCTGGCTTTCTCAGGGTGCCTGCAGAAAGTCACTCTGCCCCTGCCCCCTTCCGTCCGTCCGTCCGTCCGTCCTTCCTTCCTTCCTCAAACTGTTTTTACCCTATTCCTTAGTCCAAAGGCTTGCCAGTCTTCTTTGCATGTAATTAATTAAACAACAGCCCCACCCATAGGCTTAACTATCTAAGAATAGGGAGAAATAGATGAGGAGGAAAGATTTGTTTTTCATACATGCAGGCTCAAGAGAGAAGGAGCTTGGAGAAGAGGGGTCATTATCTCTCTATCTCTGGGCAGTTCATTGAAGCAAGGCACAAAACTGGATTATATGAGATATAAGAAGCTAAATGTCCAGTTATTTGCACGTGTGACATACGGACGAAAACCTGTTCACAAAGCCCTCATTAGCTAGTCAAGATGGATCACACACACAAAGAACAGGCTCCTTCCTACCCAAGGAGGGGGCCTTATTACTGTCGGAAAAACCCGAACAATCCCCAGTTTCCATTTTCCAAGGCTAATTAAAGGCTGTTGGGTCAATTACTCAAAACCAGACCACCAAGTAGTACCATTCAGGAACAAAAGTTAATGATTGGAGAACATCTCCCTTGTTCCCCTTTCCACTGAATTTGGCTAACAAATGATTTATCAATACTCATTGCGGGAAAACTCTGAATGTCTTTGTCTCCCTTGCTTGTTACTTAAGAAAAGATCTCCTGTGAATCAAGTTTTTTCCTATTGAGAGAAAGATCATAGAGAGAGAGTTTCTTCTTCTTATCTGACTAAAACCTCCCTCAGAAAGTGTGTTTTGGCATAGAAGTAGCTTTCCAGGTTTCAGCATTTAGGAAGATATTCCAGGATGCTTGTTTGTATCCTTTAGAAATACGTACTTTTGGCACATGTGAGAAGCTGAAGGAACATGCTGCACCAGATCAAAAGCCTGCCTTTTCAGGTATTCTGGTTCCCCAGATGCCCAAGGAACCCCACGGAAATGCACACAAGTAGATTCCATTCATCTACCTAGCAGTGTGTGATTTCTGGAGAATGTAAGTTGTATTAGGGCTTATTTAGGTACGACACAACAAAGGGGTCGAATATTATGCAACCAACAAGTGCGTGGTTGGTTTATTTGCTTGAGCGCCACAATATTTTCACATTCAGTGTTGAGTCTCTTGCATGCATCCACAGTACAAGTTAAACCTATTCTGTCCCAGGTTGCAACGCAACAAAATGTGGAGAAGACGAAGGGGTGAGTGCGGCTGTGTGGGGCTGTGCATCGGGCACCAAAGGCAGAGCCTCATCGTCTGCCCTTTGTCAAAGCAATCACAACACCCATCACTGGAGACAAAAGGCTGATCAAGAGCAAGGTCAAGAACAGATATTCCTGACCATTAAGGAAATGGTGCCATTTCTTTGGTCCTGGACTCCACTGCCATGATTTTTCATTGGCTTGGTACCAAAACCGAGGAACACCCATTTCTGCTGGCCCAGCAGAATCTTGACTCTGGCTTGCCTCAACTGACCAAATCAGACTTTGGTCCCTGTTTTGAAAGCTCCGCCACAAATGCTCGACTGGCTTCTTCCCCGCCCTTCCCCATGTCAACTTCTATTCAGAAGCCATAACTTTATTTTCCCACTGGGAAGCTCTATATAGGTAACAAAACTACCAGTCTAAGTTAACAGAATTCTGGAATAGGTAGGAGTTAGAATGATTTACCAGCTTCTTTGGGTTTCTACCACGCTTGCTGAAATCCACTGTTGTACAGTTCAGATTGCAGAATGCCTCTATGTTCCCAGTACATTCCAAAAGTACCCAAAGAGCTATAGACTCCAGGTCAATACACCTCCTCTCAATTTGCCCCAGACCCTCCAGTGGCCAAACCCCCTTCTCTATTCCTTTTCCCCTTGTGCCAATAGTTTGGTGGGTTCCCATCCTTCTAAAGGCTTGAAATGGCCCTTCTAATGCTTCATTAGTAAGAACTTGAAGCTAAAACATTCTGAGTTTTTTGGTTCCTTAAGTTTAAGATTCAAAAACAGGGATCTGAAATGGACAGATTTTCCCATCCCTACTTCTCCCTCATCCTCCCTCCTAAATGAGCGATGTTGTCACCACATGTGGAGTTATAGGCTCCACTTACGTAATTCCAAGGTGGGTCAAATAGAGCTTTCAACATATTGGCCCACGCAGCTTGAAATCCCCCACCTACTGCCTTCCAGCATCCGTTAAAGGTGCTCTGATTTCAGGAGCTGCGAAAGGTGTTTGCATGCCTTTCCCTGGATGAAAGCTTTGGCCATGCGTTGATGGGTAGAATTGACAAGATTTCAGATATTTGAGATGGAGCTGAGCAGGTGTTATTGTTTCTGTAGTTCTCCACTAAGAAATCTATTTATTTATTAAGATGTGGAAATTCTCTACTGGAAAGAAAGTAATAATATGTTAAGCTGTAGGGGAAGAAATCCTAAATTGTGCTGGATTGCTCGATGCAGTATAATATCCAATGGGACGGTGGAAAATGAGCTTAAGCGAGTTTGGAGGTTTACTGGCTGGAAAATGGAATTAAGGTGGCTGGAATTTGGAACAATAGCACTCTATGCTGTAGCTGCCCTTTGAATTATGATTTATTATTATTGCTGTTATTGATAATCCCATCATTGTGATCAGCCCAGATCAATTGCCAACATGCTGCCTCCTGGTTTTGCCAGGTGGATTTTAATTGGAATTTTCTTTTCAGATAAATGCTGGCAGTCAATGAATTGCCACAATAGCCCTCATGTCCTAGGTCTTTCACAAGTCTGAGCTTCAGACCTGATGGGTCAGCAACAGGCATTTCTGTAAAGCATGTGTAAAAAAAAGAAAAAGAAATCACAATCCTATTTGTCAATCTTTAACCATGCTGTTATTGCTGCAAAAACTTGATTTGGGGTTGCAGATTCTAGTGGGTATATATGTAGGATTCCAGAAAAACTTTTTTTTTTGCAAATAAAAGCTTGCCATGCAGTTGTCGGGATACAAGAAACAGAGCAAGAATAATGTTTTGATAGTCTTCAGGAATTTTAAGCAGTGCTTTTAATAACAGCTCTGTAAAATGAGCAACTACCGACATGACGTGATACTTCATTATAGTTGATGTTAAGTATAACTCTCACAATCATTACAAACATGTATATGAGCCAAAATAAATGAAGACTGAAAAGAAAGCTTCTGTAAATATTGGCTCATGTAATTAAAATTATATCAATATCCATATTTCCCAGGTTAATGTTACAGAAAAGAATGTTATTTCCTGCTCATTTTATTAAATGTGTTTGTCAAATGTATGCACCCTTGCAAATCCAAGCTCTATGTAAAGTTTTGATGAAATAAAACCCTTCATAATAATTCTATGCAGATTTCAAAAAGAATTATCTAGAATTTCATGGATATGCAAGCACAGATAGTTGCTAAATTTTTAGCTTGCAATATAGCGTTCCCTGTGTGCTAATTCTAAGATTCTCTAGTTTATCAGCAAACCCAGTAATATTTCATAGATGTAGAATTTTTTGAGACACTTTCTCCTGTTTATGTTAAGGATAAACATTCTTATCAAATATTTGTTTAGGCATGTAGAATTGCTTCCTCTGTTGAAACAAAGAGATCCGAGATGAGTTCTTGGTGCGAATTCTGTTCTCCATGTTCAGCTATCAGTGATTTAAACAGCTATGCAATCACAGCTTTCTCCATTTTTGGTTTCTTAAATCTTCTCACAATTCATCATTGCCTGTGCTTCCCATGTGCTCACTGGTTGTCAATGTTGGTGTTTACCGCTGCCCGCCTCTGTGTTCTGTGACCTACTTTAGGATGTCACAGCACTGAACCCTAGATGGTATATACGCCTTTGACATCAATGGGAGTGAGCTTGTTCTCCAAAGTTATTCCAAATTTCTCTTGCAGTGACTTCTCCACCTCATCATCCTCCAGTGTTTTGAATTCCACCAAATCCATGTTGTCCTTGTAGTTGTATTTTGTCTCTGAGAGGGTCCACCCTATCAAAGCACGAAACCCTTCCACTGTCTGGAGGGTACAGATGGATTTCTTTGTAAAGAGGGAATCCGGGGATGTCTGGAGGTACAAGCATTGGAACTGGAAGTCTTCGACTGTCCGTGGCTCAAGATTGAACCAATAGATGTTCCTGCGCTCCTTCTTTTCTAAGAGATCTGAGTTGGAGAAGGTTTGATTGAGAATGTATTGTTTCCGTCTGATTTTCTCGTAGTACCAAATGCCACTGTCTTCTGTGAAGCGGAAAATCCCAGGTGTCTGAGGCTGGTCTTTGCCAGAGACCAGCTCCATGGGTTGCCACATCTGGTAGGAGACACCAAAGCCAGCATCTACTATGTAGGGCACCCCATTGATCACGACTTTCACAATCAAATGGGTGATATGAGTGGCGTACTCATTCAGCTGTGGGTTATAAACGTGGGCTCCAAGAATCGTCGTGTTGTACCCCAGACACTTCAGTACCCAAGACAAGAGCTGGTTGTTCTCCATACACCATCCTCCACGCCTTTTCCGCACGATCTTGTTGTAAACCTGATCTAAAGCTAATGTGATGGTTTCTCCGCAATGGATGCTGAGGTTCTCAAAAGGCACCGCTCGTATGTGGTGCTGGAAGATGGCAGTTAAAGTTTCTAAATCGCGTTTTTCCAGGGACCCTCTGTAGCCAATTCTTGTGAAATACTCCTCTATCTTCATGTTTCCTGAAAGGCAAGTGTTTAAAGAGCAAGTTAAACAGGAAGACAGTGGAAAGCTCTTCCTCACCATTTTGATGAGGACATTTCAGAGAAGCAGCATGCTGGAAGCTGAAGAAGCAGGGCAACTAAGAGCTCTTGGGAGCTGCTGCTGTTTGGGGAAAGCCTCACTTTTTGCTTCAGCTGCACAGAACTTGCAACCTGACAATCTTGAGCGCTTTGAATGGGTTTGCTTATGGGGTTTGTTTCCCTTGACGGCTGGAGCAAGGGACCTGCATAACATTTGTTTTGTTTGCAGAAAGCCACAGGTTCAATCTGAAGCATCTCCAGTTGGAGGATTTCAGCCAAGAGCGCTTGGAACCCAAGCTGAGGACTGTAACCTAGTGATGGAGTGCATGCAAAAGGCAGGAGCTCCAGGGAGGGCTGGGAGAGATGCCAGCCTTAAATCCTGGAAGGCCACAGTTAGTCAGCAGAGACATGAAGCCAGATGGATGAGATCTTGAAGACCCACCACCAGCCACAATAGGCACCATCTGGAGCAAATAGATTAATGGGCAGACTCCATTTCAGGCAGCCTTCTGTGTTCTTCTGGGCTGGCTTTGATAAGCCTTGTGGACTTCTGCAGGCTTCCAAGCTGGGTCTGCCCCATGTTTCAACCCCATAGCAATTATTCCACCACACATGAATCAAGGCATGGATCAAACCAGGGGGGTCAAAAAAAGATCCAGCTCAGCTTTTTCACCTGTAAGCAAAAAATGTGATTTTTGGAAGTTGTGATGATCTGGGAGCTTTTCGGTGTTAAGGCAGTGACCCATCTTTTGGGTTTTGATTGGAACATTTGCTGCCTCACTGTCAAGCACTCAAAAACCAGGATCTGGATGGGCAAATCTGTCATTTTAAAAATTCTCAAGTTCTTCCCATCCTGAATATGAAGTCACATATGGATTTGGGAAGATAGGGAACAAAAATAAGCTGGAATGAAATGTTCATCAATCCCTGCTTGACACTGTCCTGTCCAAGGAATTGCTTTCTGTGGTCCATGCCCTTCAAATGATCTGGATACAAGAGACAGTGGGTCTCAAATCTGCTGTCATTCATTTGATTATCTACAGGGACCGCCTTCATCTCCTAGAGTTGTCCTGTGAACATTTCAGGAAGAACTCTTTCTTTCTTTCTTTCTTTCTTTCTTTCTTTCTTTCTTTCTTTCTGACCTTCCTGTAACATTGATTACAAATGTTCTTGTATCTTAATATCAGCAAAGTCTCCTGCAGTGGGCAATGAAGCACACCAATTGAGCATGTTCAGAGAAGGAGGAAGAGGAGAAGGAGAAGGAGGAGGAGGAAGAGAAGGAGAAGGAGAAGCGGAAGGGGAAGGGGAAGGGGAAGGGGAAGGGGAAGGGGAAGGGGAAGGAGGCAGCAGCAGCTTACCCATTAAAATGTTTAACTGTTGCTCCCAAGAAATTTCCCTTTGTCTTTAGAATGCCAACACCGCACTATTGCAATGTGGATAATGAGATGAGCCAAAACACTGCAGCTTCCACTCTGCAAAGCTTCTCATCCTTCAAATCTCCATTGTTGCTGGTGTAATTTGGAGGTGGAGGGAGGCAAAGTACATCTGCTACGTTTGGCTCTATTCCAATGTCAGTGAACCGTGGGCAGAATGAACTTTGGTTCGCAACCATTAAAAAAGCACTCTTAGCAGTTTTGCATGACGAAGGTGAGGCTAAACCGATTGCTTTTGGTTGGCATGAGGTGCAGAAACAGGATTTCCAATTAAGCCTGTTGTTTCTGTCTTGGGTGGATTCTGCTGCCACTGGTCAACAAGGAATGAAATAGCCCTGCCACTGCCAACAACCAAAGGGGACAATAGAGTGTGTTTCTGCAGCCGAGGCACATCTGAATGATTTCTGTTTTTATCTGTATTTTATTACTGTTAGTCACTGAATTGCCATTTTCCATGGAAAGTGGGACATACGGAGTCTGCATTTGATCAATGACATAATCATGTGAATCGATTTGGTTCCTGGTCTTTCAGAATCATTTGAAAGACTTCCTAAGAATGGAGCAACTAAGTCTGGATCATTTTTTTTCTGCAAAAATGGGGCGGGTTAATCACATGTGCAGAAATAAGTTCTGATTGCCTGAACAGGTTCATCACAGGGGCTTGGACTTATTGGGGTCCATGAATCCTATTGTTTTAATCCCCCACCCACCCCGATGTCCTCTGTTCCCACCCCTTCCCCGACCTATGAGTACTGAAGTTCGAGATATAATAAAGCCAAGCCCAAACTGACAAAATTCCATCACACACTCAGAATTGAACTGGAAAGTAGCAGGAATTTTATTTAAGAAAAATGGTGCTAGAATGGCATGATGTGATTGCATTATAATCTGGGATAGGAAATGATACATAAACTTGAGATTAACACAAAGGAAGGTGGTTGAGAAAGCTATCACTACCAATATTGGAACAGTTAATCTGACTAGTAGTGTTGCTGTTCAGAGAATATACAGCACTTCAAAAGTAGTCCCCTGCATTTGAAAAGCTAAGCTAAAGTGTGCAGATTTATCCAGTATCTCCTTTAGCTTTCTGCTATGTGTTGTATTTGGGCAAAAAAAAAAGAAAAGCTAAGCTATATAATTCCTTCCTTCCTCCAAACATGTCAAAATTCAACTCTAGCTAATGAAAGAAGATTGTGTGAATACATCAAGAGACTTGAAATGGAGGCCTACTACTCCTAGCTTGCTGGCTGGGGCAAATGGGAGCTGCAATCCTTTTTGTTGAAAGCTGCTTAAGATTGTACCCTAAAAGTTAGTTCAAGGATAGTTCTACGTTTGGAAAAGATGCGTGCAGATTTCTATGAATCCAATCCAGAGATTCCAAAACCTTTTTCTGAGTCAGGTGGAAATGCAGAGATCTTTCCTTGTTAACTTTCTGAAATTGTAAACAAATTTGACCATGCCAAATAACAAATTTTGCTGAAAAAGGAATTGTGGGCTCAGGTGATCATGGGACAAATGTGCCCTCAGGTCCACCCAGGTGGGATGACACATACTAAAATTAGCTTTAGAAAGGTAGCCAGCTCCTTCCCACGCAGCATCTGCCAGATTTGCATTGGAATTTCATTCTGGGGGTCACTCAAACTAGGCTAATGTTAATGGGGACAAATTTCTTATCTAATCTAATGCTGAATCGCTCTAGCAGAATGTTCTCCACTTCTTGGTCAGTAAGGGTGGTTCTTTCCACCAGATCCATGTTATCCTTATAATTATATTTCATCTCAGTGAAGGTCCATCCAATCAAAGCCTGAAACCCACTGGTAGTTTGGAGGCTGCAGATGGATTTCTTTTTGAAGAAAGAATCTGGGTGTGTTTGGTAATATACGTGGGCAGGCTGGAACTCCTCTATCGTTCGTGGCTGCAGGGTAAATGAGAAAATGTTCTTGCAGCTCACGTCTTCTGGAACATCAAAATAGAGTGACCTGTTGCCGGGATCTGCCTTGCACCGCTTTCTCTTTAATTTATCGAAGTACCACACTCCATCGGCTTCTGTAAAGCGGAAGATGCCTGGGCTTTGAGGCTGGTCTTTCCCAGAAACCAGTTCCATTGGCTGCCACATCTGGCAGGCCACCCCAAAGCCACCATCTACAATGTATATGTGGCCACCAATGACCACTTTTAGTATGAGGTGGTTTAAGCTTTCATTGTATGTTTCTGTAATGGGGTCGTAACTGCAGGATCCTAAAAGACTAACCTCATAGCCCATCATCTGAAAGGCCCAGAAGAGAAGTTGGTTGTTCTCCAGGCACCAACCACCCCTATTCCGCTTCACTATTTTGTCATATATGGCCTCTAATTCCAGCATAATGGGTTCGTCACAGTGGATGCTGAGATTTTCAAATGGCACAGCTCGGATGTGACACAGGAAGATTGCTGCTAAGGTTTCTAAGTCCAATTTGTCCTGGGGACCATCATAAGAAATTCTTGCAAAGTAGTCCTCAATATTCATGGCCGTGTGTTTTGCTTCCCTGCAGAGAAAGAGATGTTGAAATAAATGCTTGAATTGTGCCAGTTTATCACCTCCCTGCACGATCTTTCTTTGGTTCTGCTTCACAGTTGTTTGAATTGATGACAATAATACCTAATATTTGTATGGTGAAAAACAATCATAGAGAGAGAAGAGGCCAAGAAGGCCACTGGGTCAACCACTGCTGTTCAGGTCACCAGTTTACACCATCCCATCCAGCTGGTGGGAGTTGGTTTTATTAGAGTCGTCTTGTACTTCACATTTAGTCATGGACAAATAGCTTGCAATAAAGGGTCAATCTATTATTTGCCCCTCTATTGACCCATCCCTAACATCTCAGCATTTGTAGTAAGATTAATTTTTAAACTGATGTTTCTCAATAGGTTATTTAACCACATTTACTCCACCTCTCCTCTCCTAAAACTTAGCAGATCTTTCAAACAACTCCTGCAGGCTAAATTCAGTGACATTTTGCTGATGTGACCCTGGGCAAAGATGGACACCATGCCTTTTTCAGAGTTGTGGGAAAGAGGATTTTAGCAAGAGGAATACTTTATAACTCTGTATGAGACACTGAGGGTTTCCTGTCCAAAGAAACAAGAAACAAATAAGAAACAAAAAGCAAGAAACGAAACACACACAAAGAAACATGAACGACAGTACAGAAGTTCAGCAGTTCTCTGCTCTTTCTTTGCACCTACTTATTCTCACACCCAATTTTCTATTTTTTCAGCCCTCTGTCTTCTCTCCGTTCTCCCTCCCCACTCCACATTTACCTGGGAGTAAGTGACTGCCTCACTAGGCAGACACTGGCCACCTTCTCCCCTTTCATGCTTCCCAGTAAAGTTCGAAGCGACTTCTTTTGGAAGCACTTTAGTTTCAATACTTCCTTTTCTGATGGGACAAGGAACATGGGCTCGCCTACAGTGTCCTCAAGTTCATCATGGATACACACCGTACCTGCTTGCCCTTTCTCCGGGTGCAGCTTTGATGGATTGACACAGCCCGTAAGCAGTCCTGAAGTGGATTTGTCTCACATGCTTGCATGGATCAGCCATTTCTTCCTTGCCTTTGCTCACTCTTACACTTACCAAGAAAGGGAGAAATAGAACGAGTGCACAGATTCAACTTCATTAGTAGCACTTTACCTGCTGGATGGAACAACTGCAATTGCCAATCTGCCTTCTCCTCCTTTCCTTGAATCCTTTGATCAAAACGCAATTGGAACTGACACCAAGCAGAACATGATCATCTGTCTCCTATTTTACCCCAGGCCAAAAGAAAGTCAAGTCTCTTCTGGAAACGATTCCTTTCACTCTGTATCGGATGACAAGAGGTCAGTTCTGGCCCTGTAACTATTTATATTCTGCACCAACCTACTGACGCAAGTACACTATATGTTTCTGCATGTTTCATTGGGTAAAACTAGATGTAACTTGCATGGACATGACTTGTCTGTGAAATCAGAGTCAGCTTGGTCTGACTGCCGATGCCTCATTTCTTTTTCTTCCTTTAGTTACCTGAAGAAGTTGAGATCTTAGAGCTGATGGTGGGCTTTGCTACCCATAACCTGGAATGAGCTGGGGCACTGATCTATCTAGCCAGCTATGCACTTCACTCTTTGGTACCAATGTCTGATGCTGAATTGACCAGTTTTCCCATTTTTTTGCTGTTTCCCATCAAGCGACAGGAATACAAATAAGTTGGAATCTGGATAAAGTAGATTCTGAAGTGAGCACTGTAGAGCTAGTTTTGACAATCTCATAAAACCTTCCTCCAAAACATTTACTGTAGGAACCAAAAGTATTGAGTATAGCTTTACATTTATACCACTTAAATGTAAAATGAGTAGGGGGGATTTAAAAATGAAGCACGAATGTACTGGCTTTCACAGTTTTGAAAGTTTTTCACCTAATTGCAGGGGAAAGAGAGAGAGAAGGAGAGAGAGAAACTGGGGGGAAATGACAGATCCACCCGTCCCTAAAAACAGCCCTTTACCTCATTACCGTCTGCAAAATTCCAGGTCTCCTGCTTGTCCATGGCCAAGAAAGAGGCAGTGGAGCACAAGAATTGGATGGGAGGAAACCTTGTTTTGGATCCTTTTCTTTCCTGGCTTTCCAGGAAAGCCAGGCAAGCATTAGCTGGGATGAAAAGAACTATGAGGAGCAACCAGAGCTGGTGGGAATAGCAAGGAGGAGGCAAGAAACAGGGGCTTCCCATAATCCAGGGCTGGCCCTGGGGCTGCATGACCCCAAGGAAGGCAGTGCCAACCCTCTCAAGCAGCAGGTTTGGGGTCTCATAAAATGCATTAGACGGTTAGCTGTCTGCATCGTCATGATTGGAATCCTCCGGCCAGGCATGAGCTGAGATACTTTGGGGAACTCCTATGTCCAAATTAGTTGGGTGGATTTCCACAAACTTTTAGGGGCCAGTGCAGGGTGAGGGCAACTCCTGCTTTGCTGAAGTAGCAGAATATCCTGATCATGGTGACTTAAAGCAAAGCAAGCAAGACACCCCGAAGCAGCTGATATAGAAAATACAATCTGGCCAGGGCTGACTGCAGCTGTGCCTGCTACCTGCCGGTGACACTTTGCATGTGTGTGACAGGGAACAACCATCGCTTTGTGGAGGAGGCCTTGCTCTGCTTTCCAACGATCCCTGGTTTAAATCCCGAGATCTCCAGGGAGGTTCTGTTGCCCACTGTACAGGCCAGGATGTCATGGCAGCTGTCTACAGCTGAAGCACCAGGACCAGGCATGATGGTGATCCTGGAGATCTTGGAGGGGGAGATGAAAACTTTATTTATTTGAAGTTCTTGCATCCCACCCTTCACAATGTCTCAGGGTGGATAATGCAATTGGGCTGCAGGTAAAGGCAGAGGCTAGCACAAGTAGGATCAGGTTCCTTCAAGGCATGGCAGGACCAGAAGCAACAACAACCGAGTCAATAAGAAGTGAGAGTTGGATTGTACGGTTCAAAGGGGAAAGCAGAGTCAGGGACTGAAAAGAGTCTGACACCAACAAGGTGTGGAAGAATCAGAAGCCAAGCAAGAATCAGCTACCTGGCCAGGTTGGCTCAGAACTGAAGTGAGAGCAGAGGTGACCATCAAGGCAAAACCAGTGGCAGATGGAGGGACACAGTGCAGTCGCTGTGGTGGCCCATCGCACCGTGTATCTCTGGTGCCAGTTCTGGCAGGTGTGTCCAGGCCTGTCCCTTGCCCTCCAGGCACTAGCAGGGCAAGTTGTGCTGCTCGTCACCAGGGGGTGCTGCCTCACAGGATCAGATCCTGACCCCAGCACTGGGCTGGCTGGCTGGCTGTGTGGACTCTGCGCAGGGCACAGCCTGTTCTCCAAACAAGCTGCATCCAGGGGACCGGCCTTGGGCTTGTTGCTCTTTGAGTCATGCCCACACAGGATGTCAACCTTCCCCTGGCTGGTCGGCCATCTTTGGCCAGCTACAGCTCCCTGCATTTCTAGTTCTCACCCAGCCCATTCAACCCACTCAGCACATGCATAGAGAATAATTGTGGGGTATTTGTGGAATAATACCTGAATAGGAAAGTACCCCCGCCCATGGAATGCGCTCCCCAGTGAGGTCCACCTGGCGCCGTCGTTGTTTGTTTTTCAGCACCAGGCTAAGACCTTTTTATTTCAACAATATTTTAATAACTTTTAATATTGGCTATATATGTTTTAATCTGCAGCCAGGGTGGATCTGGAATTAATTTGTATTATGTTTTATATTATTATTCTTATTTATTTATGTAAGCCGTCCTGAGTCTTTTGCGAAAGGACGGCATATAAATATTCTAAATAAATACCCAGAGCAGGAAGTCAGGTGACTATATTCTCCTGTGCTAGTTGACATATAATAGGACAGAAATTAAACCAGGGAAGGATTCCCAAAAAATATACTTGAAACTCTAGTTGCGACCACCATCTCTGTGTTTTTTGGCCTCTTGGTGCAGTCTGTGAAATCTGCTTTGTGATTTCTCCTGGATATGGCAGAACATTAATGGCCACCAGATGTCATCATAATTTCACTTGTTAGGACAAGCAGACTTTCTGCTCTGGTTGCTCAGGGTGCACAACTTGGAAAGCTCAGGACTCCTAGAGTGCAATTGTTCCAGTGGAAGCACACAGAAAGAAGCAACTTCTCAATTTTCCTTCCCTCCTGTGCACCCCAAAGCCCAGGTTTGCTTCTTAACTTTTCTGCATAAGGGCAGCTGTTCAAATCGTGATTCAGAGACTGCAGTGGGAAGCAAGGTGGGCGCCTTGGACAGGTGGGATGCAACAGGTGGAGGGCATACAAGGCAACGGAGGTGCTATGGAGGGCAACAAGGATGATCCAGGGACTCTAAACAAGCCCCATGGGGAGATATGGACAGAGCTGGGCATGTTTAGGCTGGAGAAGAGACGACTGCAAGGAGACGTGATCGCACCTGCAAGTCCTTGGAAGGTCGTCGCAAAGAGGAAGGGCAAGTTTCTTCTCGCTCATCACAGAGTGTAGGACATGGAGCAATGGGCTCAAGTTACAGGAAATCAGATTCCAGCTAGATAGCCAGAAAAATTTCCTGAGGGTTGGAGCAGTAGGACACGACCCAGGGACGTCATGGACTCTCCCACCGAGCAGCATCCAAGACCTGCTGGACAGCCCTCTGCTAGGGGTCCTTGATGAGGAGTTGAATCTGTTGACCGTCTGGGCCCTTTCCAACTCTGCTAATCTATGATTCTATCCAACACGTTCCATCACTTTTACTGCCACAAACTGAGCTTTAAAGAAAATGATTTCTAAAAGTCAGGTGAGGCGTGGAGATGGGGTCAGGGGAGGGGTGTGGCCCCCTGACGAATCCTAGGGGCAAGTTTGGATCCCAAGCAGGCCAGGGTTTGACAGGGATCTCAGCATGCAAAGTACTGGAGCTAACGCATATATAAATGAGCACATAGAATCATAAACGCATAGAAGAGCAGAGCTGGAAGGGG